TTGTTACGACACGAAGGTGTGTACGCTGTTACAGAGAGAAATAAATAAGAAAGATGCCTGGTTATAAGCGCAGTATGCCCACAACCCGAAGGAGAAGAAGAGTGAAAAGAAGACTAACCAAAAGAGGACAAAAAGGAGGTATCCTACCATTAGCGGCACTCATTCCAGCCCTCATTGCTGGAGGTAAAGCATTGGGTTTAAGTGCCCTTGGAGGAGCTGCATCGTTTGGGGCTAAAAAAGGCCTAGAAGCTCTTACAAAGAAAAAGCAATGATTAATAGTTTCAAGAGAAATGTGGATTTTTTAAAATCTATTTTACAAGAGAAAAATAGAAAGCGTCGTATGGAAAAATTACTTCACGCTAGTAAAGATCAAATCAATGCCGTCAGTGAATTCACGTTGAACATGTTGAAGAAAAAGATACCTTTATCACCGCCCACAGTTGCCAAACTCAAGAAATATAGAGTGATGTTGAGAGAGTTGGGTAAACGGAGGAACTCTTTAAGAAAGCGGCGTCAATTACTTGTGAATCAAACAGGCGGTAGCTTTTGGAGTGGTATGAATGACGCGTTCTGTCAGTGTTTCAAGAGATCATGACTGTCACCGTGCAAGAGGGTATAAACGAAGTGGACACGGGTATAAAGTTTGATTTGCAATTCAACTATGACGACGACGACAGTGACTATAAGGATTCAACCGAGTGTAGACTCACAATAGCTCAACTGTTTCGGTGGTTGCGTATACGTGTGGTGGAACCCTTGTGGCGATTATGGAGACGTTCTTAATGGTGAAACCCAATGAGTTTCGAGCTTTGGTAGATTATTACAAGGGAAAAATTACTGAAAGTACTCTTCTGGACAAAGCCGCACGCGTGGCCGCCGAAGCAAAACTGTCATTAGAAGATACATCTACTCCTGCTGCTTTAAAAGAACCTGTGGTAAAAGAATTGTTAATGCAAGAACGCAAGCTTACTGACAAATTGAGACAGATTCCTATCGCCGGTGGTGTAGAACCTCCACCTCGAGACGATGATGGTAATCTCATGGAGGGGTTGCAAGAGGGATTGTTAAAAGAACTCATTAAATCCATAAATATGAGGGGACAAGCCGCCCTACCTCAGATGACACTCAAGAGGGAACCTGTCACACCTGTGGGGATCAAGAACGAACCCGTCACCCCTGCGAAACCGGGAACGTCCAAGATTCCTTTTCTCACAGCTCCATCCCAAAAGATACAAAAAACGAAACGAAAACTTCCTGTTCCCACACTGCAAAAGCATCGCACGGAGTTGGAACGACTCAAAGAATTTGGTAACTGGGAACCTTGGGAAAAGAGAGGTTACAACCCGTATCAAGTGTTTGAAGATGACGAAACGCCAAAGTCGAAGAAAGGCAAAGGGAGGGGCAAGAACCGTCCAAGCTAAGGCTAAAAGGAAACGCCAGAGAGGAGGAAAATTTGATATTCAGAAATGGATTTCAAAGTTAGGTGTCGAGTTTCATTGGCCCGGATACCAGTATATGGGTCCAGGTACAAAATTAGCCAAGTGATTAAAACGTGGTGATCCAGGAATTAATCGTCTCGATAGATTAGCCAAACAGCACGATATTGATTACAGTAAAGCTAAATCACTCGCTGACAAACATATTGCAGATCGTAAGATGGTAGCCGGAATCGATAAGTTTCCAGGCAAGAAGAGTTTAACCGAGCAAATTGTGAAGCGAATCATGCAAGCTAAACTTAAAACAAAATTGTAACGCATCTACAATGATGAAATAAAACTTGTGAAAATGCAACACAGTGTGTGTCTCCAGTTCATTCGTAGTTGTGTCGTTATCGAGAGCACATCATGTCAGGTAATACTTTTTACTTGACGTTACCCAGTAACGATGGGAGTCTGAAATATTTTCCAGACAACAAAAACAATTCTTGGAAAAATCGATTAGACAAACGCATCGATTTAGAAGGAGAGTGGGAAGTTGGATTGAGTAGTATTTCGCTTCCACACGATTCTAAGGTGTCCAGTTACCTCAAAGGATTAAAAGACGATGATGTCTTGCTAACCACAGGACGAATTAAAGTAGCCACTGGGGATACACAACATAAAGTGACTTACAATGTCACGTATGGAGACATCAAACAACATCGTATCGAGACAGTTCACGATTTACTCAAATCCTTGTTTGATGAAGAACGTTTAAAATGTATTATGAATATGGGCTTGGAGTTGGGGAGTCATTTTTCTTCAGGACACAGCGCACAATTTGAAGTGATTGCGGACTAGGATAAAGAAACGATTACTGTGACAGCAGACAAGGTAAAATCGACTGATATAACTCATCACGAAGTTCGTGACGGTCTCTATTTTGAGTTACCTCGAGACATGTGTGAGTTGTTTGGTTGGACGAAAAAAACAACAGTGCGTTATCGTCGTATTGTTAGTGGTCCTATTGAAGAGAATCGTAATGTATTACGACCGGCGCATAATCTCACAGTGACCAAACGTGGTACGGTGTGGAGTTATGATAGGAGGCTTACTACATCCAGTTTGGCGTATTACAGATATGAGATCCCATGGAAAGACCGATTTGCGGAGAAATATCACAGATTTCTTCTTAGCGATCTGAACTGGACCTTTATCAATACTAAGAGAAGTACCTACTTAAATTTACCTTACTCACGAACCTTGTATATGTATTCCTCGCTTTGTGCTCCAGTACACGTGGGAGATCAGACGACTGATCTTATACGTCAAATACACTACCAACCAATCTTGGAAGGAAGTTATTATTACGAACCCAAGCAGATTCATTACATCAAGTTACATAAGAATCACATCGATGTGGTGGAAACACAGATAAGTGAGTCGGAAAATAATAATTTGGCTCAGTTTACAGACGGCGCTTCTATCGTCACACTTCATTTTAGACACGTACGTTAACGCATGGATGCCGCCGCCCAGGAAAAGGACAGAGGAGGAAAATGTCCATTCCATCCACTTACTTGCAAATGTCCTTCACATCACGAGTGGCAAGACAATATTGAAAAGGAACTACAAGAAATGATTCGCAGGGTAGATCAAAGAACAGCCTTTCTTAGAAAATGGATGGATAATATCACAGAGGGAATGAAACGCTTGTAAGGATGACAAAGACACGTGATTTAACTTGTAACAATTTAAACTGTTTTATTTAAAAATAATAAAAAGGGAAAAAAACGCTAACGTATCTTGGCTTGAATGTCTCTCATATAAGTGTTTCAATGTTTAAAATGTCTTGTGCATCGAATCCTGTAAACTGGGCATATCCGTAGGGATACGATTTAAATGTTCCTACGTGAAGTACCCGCTTGTCGAATACCAAACCATATTTTTTGACTTGTGTTTCTGTCTTAATCTTCTTGGCAATTGGATCACGCCTAAAATGTCTCGGGTTCACAATGTCAGTGTCTCTTCTTTCGTCCTGCGGGTCTAAAATTTCATCCAAAATTTCATCCAAAATATTTTGCCTCATGACCTGATAATTAAGCTGTTTGGCACCACGCACGTTTAGGGAAAAGCCACGAACTTTACACACGATTTTCCCATGTTTCGTCGCATACCCATAGTTCTTGGCACCCCCTGACACAAATTCCACGATGTAATCCCCTTCATCCAATTCATTGGTCATATCGCCAAGGTAATCACCTAAGGGAATTTCTGTTTGACCTGGCTTCCACGTGTAAATGACCGAGTCTGTATCATAATACAAGACTCGATCGCCCAACGCCTCCAAAGATTCATAAAGCTTAAGACGGGCCTGACAGGTGGTAAATGCTGCTATGAATATGTTGGTCTTGGACCCCTTTACTGCATCCTCTTCTATCTTCTTATACGCCAATTCAATCACATCAGCACTCAAAATGCGTACATCTGATATTTCAATCGTTGTGTCATTTAAATGATCCATCAGCTCGTGTGGTTCTGTGATTTGCTTCGTTTTCATCTTGTTCATTTGTTCGCCAAACTTCCCCCAAAAGGAGTTCAGCATCAGTTTGGCAGTGGCCTTTCTTCCTGGATTTTTCTTGATGTGCTGGGGGTCTAAGTCTATCCCTTCTCTTGCCTTGTAATTTTTAACATAATCTCCTTTTTGCGCGTCCGTTTGTGCCCAGCTGGGGTAACCACTACTTTCTTGTTTTATCTTCAACCAGGTGTCTACGCACGGGGCAAACAGACCTTGCTTTCTTTGGTCTGGTGGGAAATGCCATGCTTCGTGTATGCGAAGAACCTGATACCCTTTTTTGACAGCTTTCATGATTTCGGGTGTACACCAAGTACCGGTGAGCATGCGATCCTCCACACCATGACTACAACAATAATTTCTTCCCAACATCGGTTTGGCACTTTCATCTTCCACACACTTTCGACATAACGGAAACGTCAGTTTTTTTCCATGTCGAAGAGGCAATACGGGATTGTATAAATTATAACGCGGTAAAATGTCCACTGTCAATATACCGAAGTAGGAGGCTGGATCTTGGTCGTCTGGTTCCAAAAATATTTCGGGGTGACCTATGGGGTAGGTGCCGTATTTGTTTATGGATATTCTGAGGTGACGTCGACATATCTGATTTGCTCGCCTTCATCTGTGTTGGCCTTGTAATAAAGCGACGCCGCCCCAGTTTGACCTCCAAAGAACGCATCTCTCGGATTGAGCTGTGGTACAAGATTGATTTCCTTGAGAAAATCTTGAATTTCCTTTGAGGCCTTTTTCTCCTCCTTCCATTGACATTCCCAGATTTGAACCACTTTATACCCCATCTGTCAGAGTGTCTGACATTTGTCTTCCGTCTGCTGACACAAAGCTTCCATCGTGTAGCTGCCTGATGAAAACGCCATTTTCTTGCGGTCTTTATGACAACGTCTGCACCCGTGAAACAAACAGCCATGAAATTCATACACAGTGTTTGTGTGGCTATCAAAACCATCGACATGGTATGCCTCGGGCCCTGCGGGTATCAACTTCTCCCCACCATTACGAACATGTTGGATACGTGGGCTGTCTGATTAAAGCTGATGTTCCTGCCACATCAACCATTCTGATGCAACTTCTGATTGATTGACTTGTGCCCCACGCCATCCTCTTACAGGTTCAACGGCCACAGTATCCTTGGAAAGATGTTTTTTACGCCAATATCTGTTGCATGCTGACGCAATCGTGGCACATTTTTCCATCGGATCAAACCCAGACGTGGACTGGAATTCATTCACAAATTTAAGACAGCCGGCTTTAAGAAGGGCGACATCTGATTGGCAGTAGGCTATGAGTTCTTGCTTGAGATCAGATGGGTGTTGCTTTTTCACTTGTTCTTCATACCAGACTTGAAATTCTTTTTTTTTAGAATTGGACATACTTTCTGGGTCGTAACAGGAGGCTGCTGGCAGGGCTCCCACATAATCTTGATGGTCAGGTGTGTGGAACAGGTGAGGAAAGAAACCTTTCTTGAGTTCTGTGAGACCAAAGGTACTGGTAAAGGCTGAGAGTGACATCGGGAGGAAGCTGAACGAATCTTTGAATGTGATTTGACCCACTTTGAAGGATAACCATTTAGTGCCTATGGCGATGATGTCCTCAATCTTTCTTTCTTCCTTTACCAACTGATGCTGTAGAAACATAGAATCGTACCCCTTTAAATTATGGGAAATGCATATCACCTCGCGTGGGTCGCCATATTTGTCCTCGGTGAGCTGGGTGAGAAAGTTCAGAAAGTCGGCCGTGCAATTCTCCCCGTAGTAGGTTTCGAAGGTATCATCTTCAGAGGTGAGGGCACAGACCAATACGGGGATGTGTGTGTTATCTTCCGCTATCATAGATTCAAAATCAGCATAGACGAAGATGGGAGGTTCTTCATACACCGAGGCCAAGGGATTTTTTTTTCTATGGCGTTTCAGGGTTGCTTTGGTTTTTTTCTTTCTTTGATCTTCTTTGGTTGCCACAGGTTGAATAAAGCATTTGTGTTCTGTAAGTTTTACATATTCATGGCATACGGAGCATTTGTCAAAGTAGCATTGGTGAGGTTCTTTTGACGCTGAGGTTTGAAACTCCTTACGACATATAGGGCATTGAACAAGGCTGTCGCAGATCTTTTTCTCTTTATGCATGTCATAACACGTCTGACTGTAAAACTTTCGGCAACAAGAAGAACAGGGTACTTCACGCAAGGCATAATCAGGTTTTGCGCCACATTCTACTTGTTTGCATGCATGACATCTTCGACCCTCACGTGGATGATGTCTGAAGTCATTATGATCAAATCCCTTGTTGCACTGATCGCAAAAATAGGATCGTTCTAGAAAACCAGCGTAAGATGTGCAAGTGTCATAGTGACCAGTCTCAGAGTCATCGTGTTTCTGGAGCAAGAGGCGGATAATATGCGGTGCTTCTGGGCCTACAAATACCATCATGTAGGGGTAGGAAGTTGCCATGACTTTCAATTGGTAGTCTGGTGCTAGGAAGTCTTGAAATTTTTTCAATTCTTGGTGCCTGCATGCCCCCAAAGGTACGCCCGCATCTTCATGGAGTTGATGGGCCATTCGTGATCGAACAGTGTCACATTTTTTTGCATTCTCGTAAACGATTTTCTGTCGATTCCCCTCATCTTTATGGATCCATGCTTTTGCGACACAAATGGCTCTTGCACAACACAATTCGTCTGAATTTGTAATTTGAATCACGGAATGTTTCTTTTTCAAAACTTCTGCCATGGATCGCTTTCCCAATAGAGCTTTTTGTCTACCACTTTTACCACCTTTAGGCATTCGAATAAAGGTAAGGTCGGCAGTAAACTTAGAAGAGGATTTAAACGATTCTCCTGAATTCAATTTATTAGCCATAGTAGTCATGTAATTTTCAAAGCGTTCTGAATTCTTCATGATTTCTTCTACTTTGAATGTGGCTGATTGTTGGGTGTGGGCGAATTGATTCGATTGTAAGGTGAAATGGAACGCGTCATGAGATGAACATTTCTTTTGCTGAATTTGTTTCCATATCGATCTAAAAAAAATAACCCAAAATAAATTTCGATAAGAGTTTATCCCCTGAAACTTTTTTTCAACACACTTTTTAAACTCTTACCTCGCTAACGCATTTGTAATTTCTTTTCCGATATTATCGTCTTGGGATGGAGTTCGTGTCTGCTTGAGGGTGGCCTCGTATCTTTGTTTATCCGCTGTCTTTTTCCAACTTTTTGGGAATCCAGCATTTTGAAATTCAAAGTTAAAGAGAGCGCCACCTGATTGTTCCACACCCAAGTCTATATTGAGGGCATCCAATTGTTGTTGGTCCAATTGATCATACAATTCATTGAGTTGATCGTCAGATATTTCCCCACCATACTGTTGTTTTTCAAGTTCATCATAATGTTGATTTAATAGGTCATCCGAGATACTATCCTCTTCCTCCACATCATCATTCTTTCTTTTTGCCAT